GTAGCTTGGCTGTAGGCAAGAGAACTAGGCTAACCAAATGATTTTTCCCTAGAATTATGTAGCATTGCTCCCAACAATCCTCCTTTGGATATGTTCAAAAAGTTATTTTACAGACTGAATATATACACATTTCCATGTTTATTCTGCCATGCTTGTTTTTTAAATTTAAAAAAGTACATGCACACACATAAACTCCACATTTCACAGAATGAATGATTTTCACCTGTTTCTCCAAATTAAATCACTCACAAATACAAATTTAATACTATGGAAATCTGATGATTATTCCACAGGCTCTCTAAACAAGCAGAACAACAAAAGTCCACGATCTTTTACAATAAGTACTTGAATGATTTCTTCTCATTTATTCTTATGTGAATTATGAACTAGCAAACAAAATATCCTCCTAAAATCACATATTCTCCTAGAATCACACATAATTACCACGATTTGTAAAAATTATGCCTCCATTTTAATTAACTTAAAAATCGTTCTTGGTTAGTGATAATGGTATGAACATTTTAACTTGTTCACCCAGATAAGATTTTTCAGAAACAGCTTAAAATATCTCTTTTTAAAAAGACTGGAGTCCAATAGCTTTCAAGTCTGAAAAACGCAGAAATGGTTAAGTCTAACTTTCTTGTCCGTTTCTAATTCACTCATCATGTTACAGTAGACGAATACACACTAACATTCACATGTTAGTGAATGCTCTAACATAAAAGAATTGGTCATATTTTTAGAATGCTATTTGCCATATTCTCCAATCAGTTTGGAGTTAAAGTCTGCACCTGCAGGACAAGAATGTATTACCTGACCAACTGTTCTTGATTGTTTTCTTGACCTTAAATAAAGAGAGGCACTCGGAGACTTTTAAAGATCTTTTTCTTTGCCACTCTCCTTAGGCAAGAGGAAGGTAACTAGATCCTTCTTGTCTGCGTTTAATTTGAAGCAAGACAGGCTGTAGGGCTGACAGGGAACAGCAGAGGGCAGTATTTACTCATGCCTGAACTGTCGCTGGGCGCCTGAAGTTTGAAGTTTGGAGGGGTTCCTGTGACAAAAAAGTATGACATATGACCTATATTTGCATTGTTTGGCTCAAATTCATATTTTGTAAGTTGGTTTCCTTAAAGGGGGAAAATACTGACCTGATTCCCAGTCATTTTTTTTTTTCTTTTAAAGAAGCAATTCAGGCCATCACAAAAGTAGCTGTGGCGAGTCCAGGGGAGTTCCTTTGAATGCAATACGTGACATGAGTACTTTTTTTAAAAAAATGAAGTTTAAATTTCAATGTGCTTATTCTAGTTCCCCAAACAAAGCAAAGCAAAACTTTATTAGATTTCCTTTGGCTACAAAATGTCCAGGGTGAAATACTCCAGCAGGGAACAAAATTCCAAACTTTGCAACAGGAAAAGATCTCCCTCTTTCCAAAGGGCTGCCACTGTTATTGCTGTTGAAACCCTAAGGTTTGGGCTTTGACACCTGGAATCCAAGTGGGAAGGGAAACAATACATAGCAAACACTGAGTTCCCCTAGCTTGTTCTGCAGGAAGTTAGCAGTTGGCGCTCAGGCCTTCCCGCCCTTATCACCCGGAAAGTGGGGGAGAGGGGCATGGAGGGTTAGGGTTAGCTCTCCCCGGACTTCTTAGAGCTCGCTGGGTAGACAGGAGGAATGGGGAGGAGTCAGTTCGGATTCTGTGGGATCACAATGCATAGCAGCTCCCTCCCTTGCACTGAGAAAGGGCAGGAAATGGTTAAAGCAAATCTGCTCAGCGCATTCCCAGACAGGCTTTGCTTAATCCTTCCTCCCCGCTTAAACAGACCCCCACCCCCGCCTTTCTTTTATTTCTCTCTACCCCGTACCCCTGAGTTATTACTAGCATAACAACCTAACGGTCTTTCCCCAGATTCTGCCACTAAAGTTATTTATCTGCAAACCTGAACCCACCCCCATCTATTCTGCGGCAGCCTTTTGCTGTTAGCACCCAGACCCACCCCAAGACGAGAAGAAGAGGGACAGAGAGAGAGAGAGAGAGAGAGAGAGAGAAAAAGAGAGAGAGAGAGACACACCGGCCCCCCCCGCCCCCCAGCGCCTCCGCCTCCCGGGGCTCCCTCACTGCCCGCCCTCGGTCTCGGGGAGGCTGGGTGATCAGCATCCCGAGTAGCCACTCTGAGGGCGCCCGCGGGAGGAGCGCCAGGCGGGGCCGCGGCAGCTCCAGCCCAATGGGGCTGGGGCTTGGGAGGGGCAGTAGGTGACAGGACCCGGAGCTGGGGGGAGTTCGGGAGAACTCCAGTGCAGGGAGCAAAGAGTGGCGAGCAAAGTTTCTGAGTCCCTTTCCAGTTCGCGGTCTTCCCTCCCCCTCTGTTTGTGTTTGGGAGACGCGCTGAGTGTGTGTGTGTGTGTGTGTGTGTGTGTGTGTGTGTGTGCGCGCTCGCGCGCGCGTGCGTGTGCGCGCAGCAGGGAAGGGGCGGGGAGAGTGTAAGGGACCCGGAGGAGGTGGAGAGGGGCTCGCTGAGCTCCAGCTCCACAGCGCTGCACCCTTCAGCCCCAGCTCGCGAGGAGAGCGCTGGCAGGCGCCACTGGGAGCAGCAGAGGGCACCGTCGCAAGCCAGCGCCAACAGGGAAGGAGAAAGAGGGACAAACCAGCCCCTCGCCCCAAACAAAAAGCCTTGCGGATTACAAAGTGAAACTGACACGGGACAATAAAAGCAAAGATAACGGGGACAGGGGCGAGGTGCTCTAGAGTGGGCTTCTGTTTGGGGCCGCCGGAGAAAGATCCCCTTGGTATGGTGAGGGGAGGGGACTCAGGGACCCCGTGCTACTCCTGCCTGACCCCGGCGAGGCCGAGAAGAAAGGGGGACCTTCGCTCGATCTGGACGTACAAATAATGCCCAGGCAGACGTGAAAGATGCTGAGCTGCGCTGGCAGTTGCCCGTGCCCGACCGCCGTCAGGAAGCCGCAGCAGCAGCAGGGGCCGTGGAGGCGGCGGCGGCTGGAGGGACAGGGACCCAACTGAGCGCTCCCGGGTGCCGGCGCTGGGGCGCGAGGGCGAGCGGGCGGAACGGGGCTCTCCAAGTGCCTGCGCGCCGACGCCGACGCCCGGGCCTCCGCGGCCACTGCTGGAGGACGCTGGAGGGGCGTTGCAGCCTCGTTCTCGACGAGTGGGGAGGCGAGGAAATTCCTCATCTTCAGCTTTTGGGAAAGGAATTTCATTCTCCCGGTTCTCCACCGCTCCCTCGCCGGTTCGCAGTTGTGCTTTTCCGTCGCTACGCACGTTTGTCTTCTCTCTACCATTTCTTCTTCGTGGGTAAGTTAGTTCTAAAGTTTCTCAAGAAAACTGTTTGCAGTGCTTCTTCGTATACCTTGAATACAAGCAACCTCTCCCAACTCTGAACCCTCCGGGCGAAAATGCTTAGACTTTCTGGATTAAAGACAAGGTAAAAGGGAGAGGGGTAAATATAAGAGGTCTGAGAAACTTTTCTGGGAGCTCATTTTCCAAGAGGGTACAGCGGAATGCCCTGGCGCGTTTGGCCACACCATCTCTCTCGCACTACGCGTCCAGCTGGCTACCTGGAGCCTTTTGCTGACGGGACTTACTTTGGCTGGACTGGAGATTCTTTGAAACAAAAGAGGTCTCAGACCCAGCTGGATTTTTGTTAGCGCCACTTGATCCTTGTAAATATTATTCCGTTTCCTTCACTCCTTCTTTCTCTTCATCACAACGATCCAGGGAGCCAGGACCATGAACTTGGCAGCAGGCAGGGCTCCTGGCCGCCCGTGGCTCCCGCTGCATACTCTATCCGGATTTCAGCTCTTTCGAGTCTTTTGGCTGCTGTCACTGCTCCCGGGGCCGGCCTGGGTCCACGGGGCCGAGCAGCGCCAGGTCTTCCAAGTGCTGGAAGAGCAACCTCCGGGCACTCTGGTAGGCACCATCCAGACACGCCCGGGCTTCATCTACCGGCTCAGTGAAAGCCACGCCTTGTTTGCCATCAACGCTAGCACCGGAGCCCTGTACACCACCACCACCATCGACCGCGAGAGCCTGCCCAGCGACGTGATCAACCTGGTGGTCCTTTCCAGTGCGCCCACCTACCCTACTGAAGTGCGAGTGCTGGTGCGGGACCTCAACGACAACGCCCCCGTCTTCCCGGACCCCACGATCACGGTCACCTTCAAGGAGGACAGCAGCAGCGGGCGCCAAGTCATCTTGGACACGGCCACCGACTCGGACATCGGCTCCAACGGTGTGGACCACCGTTCCTACCGCATCATCCGGGGCAATGAGGCAGGCCGTTTCCGCCTGGACATCACCCTGAACCCAAGCGGTGAGGGCGCGTTCCTGCATCTCGTGTCCAAGGGCGGGCTGGACCGCGAGGTCACACCACATTACCAGCTCCTGGTGGAGGTAGAAGATAAGGGTGAGCCGAAGCGGAGGGGCTACCTCCAGGTAAACGTGACTGTGCAAGATATCAATGACAACCCTCCAGTTTTCGGCAGTTCCCACTACCAGGCGGGGGTGCCTGAGGACGCGGTTGTGGGCTCCAGCGTCCTCCAGGTGGCAGCGGCTGACGCAGACGAAGGGACCAACGCGGACATCCACTATCGGCTGCAGGACGAGGGGACCCCTTTCCAAATGGACCCAGAGACCGGGCTGATCACAGTGCGAGAGCCGCTGGACTTTGAGGCGAGGCGCCAGTACTCGCTTACGGTGCAGGCCGTGGACCGAGGCGTGCCCTCCCTCCTGGGGCGCGCCGAGGCGCTGATTCAGCTATTGGACGTGAATGACAACGACCCGGTAGTGAAGTTCCGATACTTCCCTGCCACCTCCCGCTATGCCTCAGTAGATGAAAACGCTCAAGTAGGCACGGTGGTGGCTCTGCTCACCGTAACGGACGCAGATTCCCCCTTGGCCAACGGGAATATCTCGGTGCAGATTCTCGGGGGCAACGAGCAGCACCACTTTGAAGTGCAGAGAAGCAAAGTGCCAAACCTGAGCCTAATCAAGGTGGCCAGCGCGCTGGACCGCGAGCGCATCCCTTCCTATAACCTCACTGTCTCGGTGTCTGATAACCATGGGGCGCCCCCTGCCGAGGTCCAGGCGCGCTCCTCCGTGGCCAGTCTGGTGATTTTCGTCAACGACATCAATGACCACCCTCCTGTCTTTGCACAGCAGGTGTACAGAGTGAACCTGAGCGAGGAGGCGCCTCCGGGAAGCTATGTGAGCGGGGTATCTGCCACTGATGGCGACTCTGGTCTCAACGCTAATCTGCGTTACAGCATCATCTCTGGCAATGGGCTAGGATGGTTCCATATCAGTGAGCATAGCGGCCTGGTGACCACAGGAGCGACTGGGGGCCTCAACCGTGAGCTTGCTTCTGAGATTGTACTGAATATTAGTGCCCGGGACCAGGGAGTTCACCCCAAGGTTTCTTATGCTCAGCTCGTAGTAACACTCCTGGATGTGAATGATGAGAAGCCAGTATTCAGCCAGCCAGAAGGGTATAAGGTGTCTGTGGTTGAGAACGCCCCAACAGGGACAGAACTACTCGTCCTTGGGGCAACTGATGGGGACTTGGGTGATAATGGCACAGTACGCTTCTCCTTGCAAGAGGCTGAGAGTGACCAGAGGTCCTTCCGACTGGATCCTGTATCTGGGAGGCTGAGTACCATCTCCTCTTTGGACAGGGAAGAGCAAGCTTTCTATTCCCTGTTGGTTCTGGCAACAGACCTGGGCACCCCTCCCCAGTCATCAGTGGCTCAAATAAATGTGAGTCTTCTGGATATGAATGACAACAGCCCTGTGTTCTATCCAGTCCAGTACTTTGCTCATATCCAGGAGAATGAGCCTGGAGGTAGCTACATCACCACAGTGTCTGCCACTGACCCAGACTTGGGTCCCAATGGAACTGTCAAATATAGTATATCAGCTGGGGACAGGTCTCGGTTTCAGATCAATGCTCAAAGTGGGGTTATTTCTACAAAAATGGCCCTAGATAGAGAAGAAAAGACAGCCTACCAGTTGCAAATAGTGGCTACTGATGGCGGGAATTTACAGTCTCCCAACCAGGCAATAGTTACCATCACGGTATTGGACACTCAAGACAACCCACCTGTATTCAGCCAGGTGGCCTACAGTTTTGTGGTTTTTGAGAATGTGGCTCTGGGATATCATGTGGGTAGTGTGTCTGCATCCACCATGGATCTCCATTCCAACATCAGTTATCTCATTACTACTGGAGATCAGAAAGGTATGTTTGCTATCAACCAAGTCACTGGGCAGCTTACCACAGCCAGTGTGATTGACAGAGAAGAGCAATCCTTTTATCAGCTGAACGTAGTGGCCAGTGGGGGCACAGTGACTGGAGACACTGTGGTTAACATAACAGTTAAGGATTTGAATGACAACTCTCCTCATTTCCTTCAGGCTGTAGAGAGTGTAAATGTGGTGGAGAACTGGCAGGCAGGTCATAGCATTTTCCAAGCCAAAGCTGTAGACCCTGATGAAGGTGTCAATGGCATGGTACTCTATAGTCTGAAGCAAAACCCCAAGAACCTATTTGCTATCAATGAAAAGAATGGTAATATTAGTCTTCTAGGGCCCCTGGATGTTCATGCTGGCTGCTACCAAATAGAGATCTTGGCATCTGATATGGGTGTTCCACAGCTCTCCTCTAGTGTCATCTTAACACTTTATGTCCATGATGTAAATGACAACCCACCTGTGTTTGACCAACTCTCTTATGAGGTCACCCTTTCTGAGTCAGAACCTGTGAATTCTCGATTCTTTAAAGTGCAAGCTTCTGATGAGGATTCAGGAGCAAATGGTGAAATTGCATACACCATTGCAGAAGGAAATGCAGGGGATGCTTTTGGCATATTCCCAGATGGCCAATTGTATATAAAAAGTGAACTGGACCGTGAACTTCAAGACAGATATGTTTTAGTGGTTGTTGCTTCTGATAGAGCGGTGGAACCCCTTAGTGCTACTGTGAATGTTACTGTAATTTTAGAAGATGTAAATGATAACAGACCTCTTTTTAATAGTACCAATTATACGTTTTACTTTGAAGAGGAGCAGAGAGCTGGGTCCTTTGTGGGCAAAGTAAGTGCTGTAGATAAGGACTTTGGGCCAAATGGAGAAGTAAGGTATTCTTTTGAAATGGTGCAGCCAGATTTTGAGTTGCACACCATCACTGGGGAAATTACAAGCACTCATCAGTTTGACAGGGAATCTCTTATGAGGCAGAGAGGGACTGCAGTGTTTAGCTTTACGGTTATAGCAACAGATCAGGGCCTCCCTCAGCCTCTCAAGGATCAGGCCACTGTACATGTTTACATGAAGGACATAAACGACAATGCTCCCAAATTTTTAAAAGACTTTTACCAAGCTACAATATCAGAGACAGCAGCCAACCTGACACAGGTTTTAAGAGTATCTGCCTCAGATGTTGATGAGGGTAATAATGGACTTATTCATTATTCTGTAATCAAAGGAAATGAAGAAAGACAGTTTGCTATAGGCAGTACCTCTGGTCAGGTAACACTAATTGGCAAATTAGACTATGAAGCAACACCTGCCTATTTCCTTGTGATTCAAGCAGTGGATTCAGGGACAGTCTCTCTCAATTCAACCTGTACTCTAAATATTGATATTTTGGATGAAAATGACAATACTCCTTCTTTCCCTAAATCAACACTGTTTGTTGATGTTTTGGAAAACATGAGAATTGGTGAACTTGTGTCCTCTGTTACTGCAACTGATTCTGACTCAGGTGACAATGCTGATTTACATTACAGTATTACTGGGAGTAACAACCACGGAACTTTTAGCATTAGCCCAAACACTGGGAGTATTTTTCTTGCCAAAAAGTTGGACTTTGAAACACAGTCTTTGTACAAATTAAACATAACAGCAAAAGACCAAGGAAGGCCTCCTCGTTCATCTACAATGTCAGTGGTGATTCACGTGAGAGACTTTAATGACAATCCTCCTAGCTTTCCTCCTGGAGATATTTTCAAGTCTATAGTGGAGAATATTCCCATTGGAACATCTGTCATTTCAGTAACTGCACATGACCCTGACGCAGACATCAATGGGCAACTATCCTATACAATTGTTCAACAGATGCCAAGAGGCAACCACTTTACCATAGATGAGGTCAAGGGGACTATATATACTAATGCTGAGATAGACCGGGAATTTGCTAATCTTTTTGAGTTAACTGTCAAAGCCAATGATCAGGCTGTGCCGATTGAAACTAGACGGTATGCTTTGAAAAATGTGACCATTCTGGTTACAGACCTGAATGACAATGTCCCGATGTTTATATCACAAAATGCCCTTGCTGCGGACCCTTCATCTGTGATTGGCTCTGTTTTGACAACAATTATGGCTGCTGACCCAGATGAAGGGGCCAATGGAGAAGTGGAATATGAGATTGTCAATGGGGACATGGACACCTTTATTGTGGATCGTTATAGTGGTGACTTGAGAGTGGCTTCAGCATTGCTGCCTTCACAGCTGATCTATAATCTCATAGTTTCAGCAACAGACCTTGGCCCTGAAAGGAGGAAATCAACCACTGAACTGACCATCATTCTTCAGGGCCTTGATGGACCTGTTTTTACCCAACCCAAATATATAACTATTTTGAAGGAAGGTGAACCCATTGGCACTAATGTAATATCAATAGAAGCAGCTAGTCCCAGAGGATCTGAAGCCCCAGTGGAGTATTACATTGTTTCAGTTCGTTGTGAAGAAAAAACAGTTGGACGCCTCTTTACCATTGGGAGACACAGTGGCATAATGCAGACTGCAGCCATTCTGGACCGGGAGCAAGGAGCATGTCTTTACCTGGTGGATGTTTATGCCATAGAAAAATCGTCTGCATTTCCCAGAACACAGAGAGCAGAGGTAATGATTTGGTGGTCACTTGTTATTTGTTGCTGTGCTTTTAACAACAATCATTTTTTATATCTATATTTACCTTCTATAATTATTTACCTTAATTATTAATTTTACAACAAGAGCGCATTAAAAATGCTCTGTCACAAAGACTAACAGAATTTTATGAAATGTAGCTTTATTCCTGGTTTTAATCAAATAAACATTTCTTCACTTTGTACTTCATTTCCTAGCAATAACACATATAAGGTTATAGAGGAATATTTAGCCCCTTTAGAAATGGAATAAAATAAAATTCATCTATCTAAGCTAAATCACTGAACTAACCCACACACCTTTCAGCAAGGAATCCTGGAGAATGGGCAATTTCAGAATTAAGAAACCTCTTTTAAAATGAAGAGGTTTAGTAGAAATTGGCATGATGCCTTAGCTTTTTGAGGTGAGTGGTGATGGACCACAGAGTGATAGTTTACATCATGAGAGTATTAACTTTCACATCCTCAGCAAACTTGGCAGTTTCTTTATAGACAGTGAGTAATTTTAATGCACTAAGCCCAATTTGGGGAGATTTCTGATTTCATTTGCCTTCACATTTTAGACACTCTCTGACCTATAACAGTCATCTCTGTTTTAAACTAAAGCATGTGATGTGATGAGACTGATCAGAGACTGGAAGCTTTTTTCTTGGGAAACAAACAAACAAACAAACTGTGTAGTTTAATGTCATGGTATAGGAAAACGTCCTGCCTCCTGGTGGTAAGAAGTTGATGTTCCAGAGCATACACCAAGAGAATTCCAAGCTTGACCTTCCCTGGGCTATCTTTCAGGTTACTATCTCCATGTATCATTGACTTGTCTCAATTGAACTGTTTTGATAATCAACTAGAATTGATAAATCTACAATCTGGAAAGTTCTTGTTTGCTCCTTTTTTAAAGTTCATTCTCTCCCTTCCCACTCCTCTCAAAGACATTCTAGTGTCTGTCACTCAGCCCAAAACAAAAATATCAAATGTGATTTGTGCTACTTGGCAGTGATCCACACACAACATGCTAGTGAAACTGAGGTTCCCGTGTTTATTTTCTTGCTTTCTTCTCTTTTTTGGAAAAATGACTGATTTTCTGTATTTTAAATGCTCACTTATTACTATTATCTTTTGCATTCCCTGGGATTATTTGTTTTTATGATAACCATGCCTATTCTGTGAATTGAATGCGTATTTATGGCTTAGAGAACATTAGAAATAATTAGCTATATAATTCTTGGAGGTATGTAATTCTAAGAGAAATTCAGTTTTATTTCACACACATAACCCTGTAAGGCTTTCTAGAGAATTGTCCTTTTTATCTATTTATGTTTTTTAAAGATTTTTACATAGGAACTATTTGGTTTAGCTAAGGCTATGTTTTACATTAATTTATATGTAATTTTATTTGTATTTGGAATTATCTTTTCCTATACCACTCCCTCTCTCTACCTTGATTCTCTAGTTATTTCTTAAATGAAGAGATTTGATTAGTTTGAAAGTCAAAATATTTATAAAGGAGCAATTAAATCATTTCCAATATTGGATTCATTTGTTAAAATGTTACTATATGTTATTTAATTCAGTGTACTATATTTTATTAGAATAGTGTGGAGAATTAGAAAAAATGTCCATTGTTATAATTTGAAGATTTTTTTCCCTTGGTTATGTACCCATTATATAGGCAAAGATATATATGGCTTAGCATAAATATGGTAAACAGTGCTGTCCTTGCAGTTGGCATGAGGACTAACAAATAATAATTATCAGTAATTTTGTTAGCAATAGGGGATGATAGGTCTTTTACTTTTTTAACCTCAAGTAGCATCAACATGAAAAGGTATTCATATTTACCATATCTGTTTGTTTAAAAGCCTAAGGATAATATAATATGGCAATTTAAAAAAAAATAACAAAGTGTGTCAGGTCATCCTCTGTGAACTAAAGTGCTAAAATTGCTAACCATGTTTGAATTCCCAAAGTGCACCCACTCTTAAAATTAGAAGCAAATGTTGTTCTGCAAATAATGTTGAAAGCAATATTGGGAGCTAAAATATCGCATTATTATTGGTTGTTTCTTTCAATAAAGTGCTTTTTTCCCTCCTGCTCAATTAATTTACAGTGATTCTGAAAAAAAATATATATATTACCTCTGGTTGTTAGAGGTTATTTTTTAAATTCTTTCTTTTCAAGTCCTGACTTTGTTCAATGCGATTTTAAAAATGTATACATCTACACTGATAAAAGTCTGGGTTATGTACTCAGGGTTCTGCCAGAATTGTATCTGATCACATTTCATGTGCAAGCTGAGGGTCAGCAGGTAAAAGAGAAACAATTTAATCTGCATTCTTTTTCTAACCCTGACACTTATGTGGAGGGGGAGGGGGAGAAGGGGCTGAGAGCTATGACTTTGATAATGCTCATTCCAGAGATTTGTCCAGTGTACACACCCACTTATACTATGTGTCATATCTAAAGATTTGGCATGAGTCACATGTCTTTGAAGGATGGCTTTTGGGTCACAGATGCAGGATCTATTACCTTTTATTTTTCCTATATTATTTAAAGAATAAATATAGTCTTGATGTTTTAAGAATAACTCACTAACAGTGTGTACTTTTCCCTGGGTTCAATACAATACAATGTGGCACTTGAACATTTATTTTTAAACATGTAGTATGTAGGAACATGCAGTTTAGGACTTTGGTTGGACATCACTGAGATGAATTTTGTTTAATTAATCTTTGTTATTTAAAAGTCTACTACACTCCTTGATTCATAGTAGGTGTCCCTAAATGTTTGCTGAATGACATGGTAGATAAACTAAGATCAGAAGATATGTCCCTGTGTCTCTCAAGAGACAAAAGCTGGAGGAATGGAAGGAGTCAGTACATCGGATTCTGTTCATTAAATGAACTAAGGATAGAACACAGTAATTATCTCTGCCATACAAATAAACTGGGTGTTGTCAGAACACTAGAAAAGGAAGGAAGAAATTAAGTGAGTGGCCTGATAAGGAGTGTTTAAATGGAAAAAACAAAGTATGTGCATACACAAGTAGTCAGCAGGCTGCAGTTCTCACACTTGCTGGTCCCAAGAGCCCCTATATATTCTTTAAAAGAACCCCAAAAAGGCTTTGGTTAGGTGTGTCTGACAGTGTTTCCTATTGGTAGATACTATTTTTACTATTAATACTCAGCAAAATTAAAATAATTTATTTAAAATTACATGAAACATGTAATATTTTAATTTTGTTTTTAAAAGCTTCATTTTTCCAAACTTAAAAAATATCTGAAAAGATTGAAGTTATTTTACATTAAAAAAATTTCTCATGTCTCTTTTTTTAGAATGCAGCTGGACTCTCAGATCTTGTTCAGCCCATTGTAATATATTGGGCTTCATATGCTAAAATATCTGAAGCAAATCCATCTTCAAAGAGATATATTCATTGAATAATAGAGAAAAACTTTGATTTGCTATCCTTTTCAAAAATTATTGATTTTCTAATATGATACAAGAAGTCCACAAGTTATAGTTCCTTAAAAATTACATGCAATGTGGAATTTGAAACTCTATCAGAAAACTTCTCACAGTCTGTTATCAAAAAATGCATGGATCTATATTGCTTTCCAAATGGCTTTTCTACTTGTTCATGACTTAGAAATAGCAGACATTTATGGTTTGGAAAATACTGGTATGAATCATAAAGAGCTTATCAAGAAAGAATTTTTAAAATGTATTTTTGAATCGACCAATACAGTTATATGTATTTTATTATGTACAACATAATTTTTCAAAGTATGTGTAAATAATAGAATGGCAAAAGTTAGCTAAATAACAAATGGATTACCTCACATAATTTTTTTTTGTGGTGAGAGGTTATAATTTCCACTCTTTACAATTTTTTTTGAGACAGGGTCTCTCTGTGCAGTTCAGGCTGGCCTTGAACTCATTATGTAGACCAGGCTGACCTCAAACTCGTGGCGATCCTCCTGCCTCAGCCTCCTGATTGCTGGGATTACAGGCATCTTTACATTTTTTTAAAAAAAGTACAATATATCACGATTAACTATACTCACCTTTTTGTACAAAATTGTCCTGAAATATACATTTCTTAATGCCTGGCTTCTTTACAGTTTTTAAAACTTACAATGTATCATAATTAATTATAGTCATCTTGAAAATTATTCTCTTGAAAATTATTCTAACTGTAATTAAGTACCCTTTGACCAACACCTGGGCCACTTTTGTCCAACCACCCCAGCCTCTAGTAGCCACCATTGTACTCTACTTTGGTGAGATCAATCTTTTTAGTCATAGATGAGTGATATATACTCATATTTTGTGGTATTTATGCTTCTATGCCTGGTTTATTTCAGTTGACACTCCCCAAGTTCATCTATGTTGTCACAGATGGCAGGATTTCATTCTTTTTTATATAGCTAAATACTCTTCCTCTGTGTTTTTTTTTTGTGTGTGTGTGTGTGTCTGTGTGTGCATATGTGTACCATATTTTCTTTATCCATTGGTGGATACTTAGGTCGAATTTTTATTGTGGTTATTGTTAATGCTGCAGGAAACACCAGAGTATAGATATCCCTTGAACATACTGATTTCATTTCTTTTGGATATATACCCAGTGATGGGATTAATGGATTACATGGTAGTTTTTGATACTGTTTTCCATAATAACACTACAAATTTCTATTCCCACTGGCTGAGTTTAAATCTTGAGTATCCTCAAGGGCTCAGATGTTAAAGTTTTAGTTCCCTGGGTGACATTATTGAGATGGTATGGAACCTTAAACAGGTGAGGCTTAGTGGGAAGTGTTTAGGACAGTGAGGCTGTTCCTTTGAGGGAGACTATGGAACCCCAATCCCTTCCTCTTTGCTTCTTTGCTCATAATGTAAAAAGTCTTTTCCACTACTTACTTTTTCCATAATGTGCTTTCTTGCCACAGGCCCCAAACAAGGAGGTCAACAGTC